TTTAAAGTCTTGCCTAGACCCATGTCAGCGCCCACTCCCGGGCTGTGCTCTTGGTCTTGGCTTACCACCTCTGCTACATTGGTCTCAGCTCTTTGGCTCCCTTTGCTACTCCATATTCCAGGTACTTCATACCTGAACCCTATCTGCACTCCAAGCTTTGGCAGCTCGTCACTGAGAGGCTTCCTATTGTCTCCTAAGTACTAGTTAAAGATTATAATATTTGACCTAAAACTCTCCTTCACAGAGCTACTGTAGGTAAGGACTGTACCTATCAGCTTGTAGGCTGCACAGTGTTTGTTCTGTTTTGTTTTTCTGTGATGCAAATAGCCATTAACCACAGTAATAGAGAGCAGGCCCAATCCTGAGTAACACACTTATCGATCATTCAGACCAATTTCCACATTAACCAAATAAAATCACACACAACACACAGCTTGCCTTTGGCACTGTCACGTTCCATCCCAAATTTCGAATCATCACGTTTCCCGTCTCCGCATTTCCTCCCCGTGGGAGCTAAGGAGGCTGCGGAACCCTCTTTCATATACCTGTGCCTGCTTCGTCTCCCCACATTGCACCAGTCCTGAAATTGACGGAGAGAAATAGCATGAAACAAGCAACGTGTCTGGGGGGATTCTCTTGCCTGGCTACAAAAGATGAGTTTGGGTTGTTTTTAGGACAAGTCTTATAAAGTCAAAAGTAATTGTGCTGGAATCTTTTGCTTTGGAATCTTGCTTCCTTCCATGTGCTTAATTCCTCAGCTCTTTTTCTTTGTTTCCCCACTTTGTGTATCTTTGTCCAAGATCGGACAAAAGGCCAATTGTCAAGGCTACATCTTCCTGTAGGTCTAACAGAAAGAGAAATGTCACATAGGGTGCGCTGTAACCTTGCTGTCATCCTCATGCTGTCAGACTGCAGGTCTTCTGCTGACAAGTCATCTGTGCTGTAGTCACGTTGCAGGGCTCTTTAGTCTGGTGCTTTCACATACCTGTATTTCAAATTGCAATTCATTCATACTAGTTTTAATATTTTTTATTACCAACTCTAACAAGTCATAGCTATAAACTCCGTACATATGTTAAGCTAGCCTAAAGGAAATATAAAAATGCATTATCTACCAAAATCCACATGCCCTGCCATTATTTTAGTGATAAATATCTATTACTATGGTGAAATAATCTCAAACAGGCATTTATTTTTCTGCAGTAAAATGTTCATTCTGTATCATGGTATACTGCAATAAGAAAGCAAGTATTTCGGAAAGGATTTGACATTTTTAGATTGTCTTTGACTGCATATCCCATGATATTTTCCAGACAAAAAGTGCAAAGGCTAATGGTCAGGTTAAGAATGATGTCTGAGATGCCTAAGCCCCACTGGGAGATCTATATAAGCCAGAGTCAATAAAGTGCACTCTGAATCAATAAAAGGAGCATGAGCCTGCACTTTTGGTAAAAAGGTCATTATATCTCTGTGCTCACCGTTGTAATAATGGTGAGGGAGCAGCCAGAGAACTGTAAACATGGTCTGTCTTCCCCTCTTTTTTTTCCTAAGGAAAAATATTTTACTGGAGTTCTCTTCCTTTGAAATTTCTTCACAGCTGAGACTGTCTTATAATGTCATTTCTAAGGATAGAGATGGACTTCCTTAAAGAATCATCAAGCCAGCACAGCCACAGCATGTGACATGCATTAACAAGAACTGTGGTGACCCGTGCATGGGAAGCATTATGAATGTTATTTTCACAATGAAATTAGGCAGTGTAGACCACCCTGCTTAACCTCAAAGCACATAACTGAACATGTTAACTCAACATGCTGCATCAGTTTGAAGAACTCAGTGTGGGTCTATATGAGATAGTCAAAGAAAAATTTGAACCTCTATGGGAAATTAGAAATTCCTTCATCTGTGCTATGGACTGAAAGACACTCTCCAGGAAAAGTGCTGTTAAATGTAGGTAGTGAACAATCGCAGCCTCTGTAGTATAATAAAATGGAAAAAATTCTGAAGGTTTCAAGTTGAGTATGATGAATGAACAAAATGCAATCGACAGTGTAATAAAAGTCTGCCAGTTGTAAATAAATGATCAGTTGAAAATTACTTAGGGGTATCCAGATGCATCATATTTGTTACGAGACTGTTTAGATAGATGGGTTTATCTGTGTATCTTATTCTGAGAGAAAAAAAGATTTCATCCTTCACAATAAGCTATTCAAGGCACCCTGCACGTGATGCACTAGCTATGTCTGAAGCCTTTAGTCTCCCATACAAAGACATCGTTACATCAACCACTGTGACTGGTGTCACTAGAGCAGACCTCCCAATGCTCCACAGCTGCTTCACAGGCTCACAAGAGGGAACTGAAACTGTGGTTGCTCTAAGAAGGTTGCTCATTGCTGAAATCTTGTTATCTTTCTCATTTCTACTGTCCCACTCTAACTGCTGGATGGCCTGGCTAAACATCTGCAGTTTAACATAAACCATCTGCATTAGAAATCACTGTTGTTTGCTTCCTGCTTCTCCTCACTGTGGAAACACTGCAAGAAAGGAGGTGCATGAGTGGAATGATAAAACCAAGGGGGCTGTTGTGTGTTTCTAATTGTTATTGGGAGCCAGAGACTTAGCAGCTGCCACCATAGTTTTGAAGCGCTGCCATCTCTAAAAAGATGGTCATGGGACAGGGAGAAAGAAATCATAGTTTATTTAGTAAGTGCTCCTGCATAAAGATGGGAAGGCTCCCTGACAGCTCCTTGAGTTCAGTAACCTTGTTCAGTAACCCCCGTGCCTGATGAACAGCAGCACAAGTGACCATGGGTACATGCGCCGCACTGTGAGCACCTGGTCTGGGTGGTGAGTCCCAATCCCGTTTGAAACAATGATTTTTAGGTGAGAATACATACACACAGGTGCACGAGCATGTCAAAAAATTGTTATCAAGTTAAAACTGAAACTCTGAAAGATGCTATTCATCTGTTACTATATCTGAACTTGAGTTCACATGCAGTCACCTTTAGATAATATTTCCAAAGGAAAGGCAGAGTGTCCCCTGCTGCTTCTTAGGAAAAGATAGTTGATAGAGTAGGTTTGTACAGAACAATTTGTTTTGAGAAAGGAAAAGCAAACAGAATTTACAATTGTTTACTAAAGTATATGTGACTCCTTGCTCAAGTTGTATGGAGAATATATTTTGGAAAACATCCTCTGGTATCTTCCTCATCACGGAGCACATATTTCAAAATCACTGAAAATAAAGTCCTCCCTGACAGAATTCCATCATCCCATAAATTTAGAGAATGAAGTCACAACACTGTGTCACTCAGTGAAGAGAAACTGCTGTCATAAAAGACAAAGTTTAAACTTTTTTTTTTTTTTACAGGCATTTAAAGTCATCTGGTAACCTCTTTTCTTACAGTTCACTGACCTCCTGGCTCCTTAAGTACTGGCCACAGCTCTGAAGTGCAAATGACCTAAGATTTATGATTACTCACTTCAACATGGGCCCAGCTGGCTGTAACCAAAGGAAATCTAATTCATTTAAGCAAATTATTTTCACCAATGCAACAATAATGGTGTCATATTAGATAGATATCAGTTACAAGCAGCAGAAAAAGCATTAAAACATATATTTTTCTAAATGAACCATTGTTTTGAAGAACACATTTGTAATGGTTTTAGGACACAAATGTGTACACGACCTATTCAGTGACCCTAGAACAAAAATGTATACTATGCATGAGTAGAATGAGGTACAATTGTCAGGAGGCAACATCTGGAAAATAGTAGCTATGCTATCAGAAAACTGCATTTTGAAAGATATTGAAGGAAAACTGGCAACTACCTATTTGAAAATCAGATAACTTTTGTATAAGTTGCGTATCTTTTTCAGTCATGTAACTGTATACATATATAGGGTTATTGAAGCAGAACCATCTCAAGATTGTATGCAAGGCTGCCACCAAATGAACTAATTATGTGAGTGCCATTGCTTCAGAATAAGGTATACCGAATCCATCACGAGTAATCTTTAATGCTACTTTTGTGAGTACTTATCTTAACTTCAAAAAAAAAAAAAAAAAAAAAAAAAAAACCAACCACAAATGCCCCTGTGGGTTTTATTTTCCTCCTCTTCACACCTCTCTTTCAGTGTGGATCATGCAGTGCCGACGGCAACACTGAGCTTATGACACCTTGGGACTACTGTCTAGTTTCACAAAGCAAGTAAATATTCTCTTATAGCTATAGCTCTGATCTCTTCTTTTACCCAGATATCAGCACTGGCTGCCAATCAGATCAATTCACAGTGATATCATGGTATAGCTTTAAAGTATTTTCTTGTACTGTTCTGTAGGCAGAAATTCAAACATAGTAAGAGGTCATGGACCCAAGGCACAGGAACGGATGTGCCAGGGTGGGCTGGTAAGCAGATTGCCAACCCAGCTCAAACACACTCAGAACAGTAGCGAGACAGGAGTTGAATCGCTGATTTAGCCTAAATGTGTTTGGCATTTGGCAAGCTACTCGGTAAATAAAGGAGCCGTGCAAGAGTTAAGTGGGCTGCTGGATAAGCTGTGAGGAGCTCGGTGAGCTGTCCTTGACCAAAGGCGTTCCAGGCGATCCCTCCCTAGGGAAGGCCAGGCACCCTTTGAGTCAGTGCTTGGGAGAGGCCCATTTAGGAGCTGGGCCTAACGGGCACGGGGCAGGCACCGGTGCTGGTGTGAAAGGCGGCACTGAAGGGACTGGCAGCTTTTCTCTCCTTTAGGCTGCAGGAGATGCTGAAGATCTGTGTTATGCTCAGGAAAGATCCATCCTCAAGAGCAGAACATCCCGCAAAGGCGGCAGAGGGCTTGCGCGGATGAGCGGGGAACTTGTGGTCGGACTCGGCTAAACCCGAACTACAGCGCCCATGATGCCCCGGCGCGGGAGGCGCCGCCATTTCGGCGCTGCCTCCCCCCGCACACAGCGCTAGGCCGCGGCAGCGGGAGCTGCCCGGGCGGCGGTTGGCAATGGCGATCCAGCTGCTGCTGGACCTGTGAGTGCCCCGCCGCCCCTTCCCGGCGCCGTGGGGCCTCGAGCATGGCTGCAGGAGGGAGGGAGGGAGGCGGGGGCAGCCTGGCTTGTGGGCCGGCGGGGAGGGGTGAGTGACAGCGAGCGGTGACAGGGCAGGGAGGTAGCGGCTTGGCCGCTGCTGGGGGACAGGGTGAGGGAGGAGCAGAGCCTGACCGGAGTTGTCGGGATGAGAGGGCTGGGTGCGGTGAGGGGGTTGTCTGCCGCTTAGCAGGAGTGACGGCAGGTGACAGCAGAGTGACAGGGTGGGCAGCGTGGGTGACAGTCTGCCGGGTGATGGGTGGTTGTAGGTGACAGGGCTTGGCAAGGGTGATGGGGCAGGTGACGACGTTTGTGGGGTGACAGGGTTTGACAGGGGTGGCAGTATGTGGCAGGGTTTGGCCAGGATGACAGGATTTGGTAGGTGACAGGGTTTGGTGGGTGTTTGACAGGGTGACAGAGCAAGTGGCAGGGTTTGGGGGTGGGGACAGGGCTGGCAGGTGGGACAGAGGTGGCAGGTAGGGGACAGGGGCGTCCCTGACAAGCCTGGATGTGGAGAGGTGACTGTGGGACCCTGACCCCACCCTTTTTTCCCCTTGGCTCCAGTGAATTGACTGAATTATATTTTGCTTTTGAGATTTTAATGATATCAAATTATGCTCGTGTTTAGGAGGAAGTTACAGACAGCACAGGGAAAAAAAAATCCTGAGTTTTGTGTGTGAAGAGGGCAGAAGCAAATCTATGCATTTTATAGCCAGTGTGAAAGTAAAGCCAGCCAGTAAAAAGCAACTGGGGAGACAAGGAGGATGGAACCAGCCTTTTTGGACTTGACTTCAGTCTTGACGTCTCATCCAATTGGAGTGCTTTGCACTGACAGCTGAGCATGCTAATAGGAATTAAAATGTTCTGTTTCAGTAATAGCTTGCATACTTTTGCAAAGCCAAAAGTGTTCCCATAATTTTCTAGTTTACATTGTTAATCTGTTAAAATATTGTTTAAGACTTGTATTATACTACATGCATGTGTTCTCTTGATTAGCTCTAGATTTTAGACCTAGGAGGTTTTACATGTACTGTGTAGCTTAATATTGATATTTTCTACTTTTAATGAGTTGCTTACCTTTTTATGCTACTTCCTTAGTTTTGTTACAGCAATTTTCTATATTAGTCTTTATATCAGTAAGACTAATACTTAAAACTAATAATTGCATGTATTTTTATATAAATGCATGTAATTCTACTGTACCATTTCTTGTCTCATACTAATCAGATAATGGCCATCTGTTGATGTCAGGCTGCATTTTAAGCTGCTTGCTTGTGCTTTTAGGCCTGGGACTTAACTAGTGACACTTAAAGCCAAAGTTGAAAATTGGAACAAATGAACTAATGTGTGATGGAGCAGTCCTTTTAATAAGGTCATTTTTTTAAAAAAAATCTGCAAAGCTAACAGAAAATAGTTTACAAAGATGCTTGTGCTGCTTGATGGTGGTATCTGTAAGGGCCTTTCCTATCGCCATGAAAGAGCAATCAACACTCCAAATCACATGCACAAGAGCATCCCATTGGAAATACTTAGAAACTTTTTTTTTTAAAATATTTTATGGCCTTGCTGCAAATAAAAAATAACTAATCCTAAAGACTGCAGGAAGATATATCTATTTTATTATTTGTCATTAAGCCGCTTCTAGTATCTCCTCTCGGGGTTCATTTCTTCTGACAAGTTCCCCTTCCAACATCTGTTCGGCTGTTCTGTTTCATGTGATATGACTCACTGTAGGCTGTGCTTTGGTATAAGTTAGGCTGTTTAGCACAATTACTTAGAAAGAGCCAGTCCCTACAGAAATACATGTACAGGCTGTGAAGCCTAAAGGTTGTAGGCCTCTTCTGCTCTGTACCCTTGGCATTTTGGAACACTTGAAAGTGCCATTTGACACTTTGTAAGCAGATCTGAAATACAAACAGGTGTCATTAGCAAGCCTGAGAACGTGCCCCTAACGCTTTTGTTTAACTGACACGAAAGAGAAATGTATCCCTCTTGGAACCAGCAGCCCTAGCTGAAGATTTGTGCTGCCTACCAACTAGAGGCTCTGCTGATGGAAGGGCTGCTCCTAATGCTCACAAATTATCCGCAGGCAAAGGTGTCCTGGTGAGCTGAGCTGGTAATGAGAGTGAATGTGGCTGATTTTCTTTTTTGGCCTATGGTTGACTGGGGAATGTGTGCACAAAAGATCGGTTGATGGACCTGAAAGGGCAATAACTGAACTTGGTGGTAGCAGGGAATAGCAGGAATTGATAAGGTTTGGAGCCAGCGATTCCAGCAGTGCAGAAGATGACATCTTTTTATGGCTTGATTGTTCTGGTTCTACTACATAATGCTTTGTTGTTGTTGTTGTTGTTGTTTTTGACTGTGTGTAACTTCCCTTTATTTCAGATGCATTCACAGCCTGACAAAGAACCTTTCAAGATACACTGCCGATATTAAATCATTGCCTCCCAACATAAAGGATAAACTGATTAAATTAATAAGTCTACAAGGGCAAATAACCGATTCAAATATTGGTGAGGTAAGAACCAACTCAGAACTACTCTCTCTGTGCTAGTTTATTACACAAAGATGTGCTAAACTAAACTCTGCATGAGTCAACAGATCAATTCAGGGCTATTTATACCACCCACATCTTTACATTTTTTCTCTTCTGTATTTCTAAGCTCCATAATACTGATAGTCTTGTACTGGAAATAATAAGACTGTGCTTTTTGGGACAAGAAAACTGAAAAAATACTTCAGCTAGTGGTAATTAACCTTCGTTTAATCAGCTGACATACCATCCCTTTTCAGTATGGAAAACCAGACCATTGAAAATCAGTCTCTGTTCCTGAGCATAAGAAACTGTACAATGTTTAAGGGACTCAAGGCAATATCAGATTGTACTACAGGCTACAATACCAGTTTCTGGTAACTTGTCAGACATGCAGTAAATGTATAGTGCAGAAGTATGGCCATAGTAATGGTATTTGGAATGGGTTTTAGTCTTTTGTTGGTATTATATCTTATATTTAGTGACATGGATGATAATATGTAGCATAAATGATAGAAAATATTTTAAAATTATTATTGAAGGTGGCATCTGGAGGGGTTTCTAGCTCTGTTGAAATTTCTTTCTGTAGTCATGCTGGTGGCAGAGAAGCTGACTTCAAGCAGTAACAGCAGATTGCACCCTGTTTCCTCTGGTGGTCGCAGAAGAATAATATATTTCAAGAACGAGGGGATTATGGATAGCTTTTAAGAACTTAATAGATTTCTCTTTTGCTCTATGGACTTTAAATACATGATCCCAGTACAATGTATTTAAATTTTGAATCTTTGAAATATCATCATATTTAGGTTTAGAAATTGATCAATCCAAATTCTCTCATCCCTCTTGCTCCCGGATGTCTTGTTGCCCGACATGGGCAATCGACTCCGTCCGCCGAGGCGGCCAGGCACGCCCGAACTGTGCCTGGGCCAAAGAGCACAGACACCAATATGAGGATGCTGCAAATGGCGTTTAATATACGCAGGCTGGATCTTATAAAGGTAGCAAAAGGCGGAAGCATACCTATACAGCCAATAAGCGTTGCTTTTTACCTAATATGGCATATGCCTTAGTTCCCTATTCTTCCCGTACATCGCGAGATCTTCCGAGCGCCGTACCCTACAATGTCTGTCAGTATTTCAGAATGAAACTGATTAGTGACTCTTTAGCTGAAAATTGAAGGTCACAGCTACTTCGGTATCTATCTCCTGGAACTTTGTTTAGTCTCAAGGGAGTCGTGAGATATGAGGAAAGCTAAGGTTGGCCTTGATGGAACAGGGGAAAAGAATGACTCCCTCTTCTTTTTTTGCTTTGATACACAGCAAAGAACAGGCAAACAGTATCAGTTTCCCAGAGTTACAATAGTGAAGTTAATGCTGGAGGCAGGCTCAGAAGTATTGTGGAAAACTTTCTTCAGTATGCTCCATTTCATTTTAATTGTAAAAATAAGTGCTTATGTAAAAATTGGACTCATTGTGTTCATTTATCTGGACACGTTTGAGCTGATTCAATTTTTTTTTAGGTATTTTTGCAATAGTGAGTCTTTCTAAACATCCTAAAAACAGTATATGAACAAAAACATATGTATGTGTGTACAAACACACAAATCTATTAAGCTAGACTATTAGGTTAGATTACCTTTAGTCTGGAAAGAAATTAGAGAGTTTAAGTTACAGTTCTTTTCTTTGGACTCTAGAAATTTCAGCTTTTCTTGTGTTCGTTCAACAGCTCACCAGTGCTTTCTCTTGAGCCTGTTTTCTAACTAATATTTAGGTATTCTGTTTTTACTTGTTCTTGTGTGTTTTCCCTTTCTCTTCACGCTTTCTGACATTATGTCCTTAGCAGGACACTTTTGTTGAACTTATTATACAACAGTATCTGGCTTTGTCTCATTTGCATTTTTTTAAGTGATAGTCACCTTTTAGCTTTTGAAGATACCATTTCTTAACACCGTTTCACTCCTCAAATTTCCTGTTTTTTCATGTTGTCATTGCTCTTCTTGTTGGTCAGTTATCTCTCCTCGTTATTTCTTGCCCACGTTTTGTGCAACTTAAGTATTCCATGTTCTCCACACTGGCTACAAATCTCCCTTTGTCTTCCGTACAGATAATGGATTGTCTTTGTTACGGCTTCCATTCTGCTTTTGTCTTTCCCAGTCTCCACAGTATTACAGTTGGTCTATTTTCTTTCCATTTTTTCTATGTTGTGCTATCTCGTCGGCTTCTGTGCACATACTTTTCTTGCTGTTGTCCCACCCTTTGCATAAATTTTAAACATCTTTCAGTCAAAATACTATCCATTATCTCTTATACATAGACTTCTTTTTCATCTATTACCTCCATTTTCCTGCCCAGATCTGTGTTACATCCATTTTTTCCTTTATTGTGCTTTTTGCCGATAGTAGCTTTCCTCAACATGTATACTGAGCTCCTTATTCCAACTCAGTTTCACCATAAAGATCTATAAAGCCTTTCAATATTTGCCGACAGACTACAAACCTTTCATGTACATTCATCTCTTGTACTCTGCATACAAACACTCCTTCGAGCTTAGATTCCACCCTCTTTGATGCTAGAATATGAATCTCTGAAGGGCATCAGAAAACCAACCTTTAAGTAATAATGTCGTAATTGAAAAATCATTGGCTAGGGTACACCAGGTGGGTAGTATGCTCACACTTGCTTTCATGTAGATTTCCTTGTACCCAAAGCTGCCCCCCGAACCCTTTTTGCAGTCCTAATTTCTTCTAAGGTGGCTTCCCTTGTGTGGCTTCAAAACTGGCAGTTTGCTCACCCTTGTTTTGCCCTAGGTAATCAGCAGTTGTGAAAGAAAGCCAGCAGTCAGGGAAAGGATCTTTAATAAGGTTTCAATAGCCACTTTGGCTTCCAGTAGGTCATCTTTGGATTTGGATGCATTATTTTCTTAACTATGAGTTCAGAAGTATCAATGAAAATAATCCCTGGATATTATTCTTTTAAGAAAATTGCTAATAAGTATATCAGTGTATTTATGGGGTGAAGGAGCATGTTTGAGGCTTTTAACTTTGACAGCTTCCCTCCTCTTCCACCCCTGCCAGTGATATCCAATGTGTCACTCATTTTACCAAAAGATTGCAATTATAATCTACTGGAAGTTATTGTTTTTCCATAAGGCTTATTTAACTCTATGTGACAGTAAGAATTTTAGCAACGTGCGTATTTGTGTAACACAAGAACAATATCCTGTAGTACCTGTGTTGTAACTGCTGAGAGTGAACCTGAAAAAGGAATAGACTTTCAAGAAGCCTCTCAGACTTGCTGTTGGCTGTTATCTTTGCTTGCATGGAAATTTACTGTACACAATAACCTGTGTGAAGTAAGGGAGAGAATGACAGGCTGAAGAGAGATATTTCATAATACGATAACCTGCTCCAACATATCATCTGATGTTTGCCCTATTGGTCTGAAGGGGACTAGAGGTGTTTTTTATCAAATGCAGCAAGAGGGAGCCTGTATGTGTGCGCGTATGTGTGTTTTGTTGTTGTTTTTTAAATAAGAAATATCAGGAGGCCTTAAAACTGAAATTAGAGGTAAGGTTTGTGGTCTTCCGTTGCTTTGCCTCTTAATTTCATAAAAGCTCTCTTGAGAAAGATTGCACAAGAACTCCAATCTGTGGTCTTATGGGAGTGAAACTGCCTATTTAATGAAGTTGGATACCTCTTTCTGGTATGATAATGAGATTGCTTGTTTATGAAGAAAAGAGCATGGGCATGTTTTGTGTATAAATGAGAAAAATACTCTGGGGTAAAATATCTTCCAGATCTTACCTGTATCTGTTAAACAGATTTAAGTTTTGACCAAACCTGGTCAGTATTTACACTTCAGACTTCTGGCATTGTAGTTGTGCTAGTAGGTTTGAGATTATGAGCCTTGGTAAACCCATCTGTGCTGACAGAAACGCTCATGTTAACTGCACCAAGAGTAGTATTTGCACTGACTAAATTTGTGACTCTGGTGATAACTGATTTTTAGTGAGGAGTTTGCAATTACAACTTTGCTCTTAAAATTGCATCCAAACTAGGAATGCCTTGTCCAGGTAGTATGTTAGTATGCTGTAGTGTTAACACGTTTCTATTCTAGATGTTATCACAGAAACTAAACAACGTTTAAGCTGTAGGAGATGAACTGTTTCTGTAAATATGGCCTATTTGCTTTAGAGATTCTAGTTTCCAGTTCTGGTAACACCATCCTTGGGTGAATAGTTTTTAAGTCCTATGTAACGTCTCATGTAATAACAATTTCAGATTAAAATATGTGTGTTCCACTACATAACAGTGTTGACTGAAATACTACGTTTTCATTACAGGTATTGCATCCTGCTGTAGAGTCTCTAGACCTCCGTGAATGTGATATTTCAGATAATGCACTGTTACAACTTTATAATTGCAAACATTTGAAAGAAATCAACTTAAATTCTCGCAAAGAAAACAGATTGGGAATCACTTCAGAAGGTAGGTTGTCTGTGCACAGAGAACTGGGATCTTATTTCTGTTTTATTTTTTTTATAAGACTGGAGTAAATTGCAAAAATATGTAGGGTAAATATTGTTTAAAAATCCCCAATGCCACACAGTTATATTGCTGAAGTGACTTTAATTAGTCAATTATAAATGTAGAGCACTGATTATCTTACAAGGAAAGAGAGCTATCAGGTTACTCTCTTGTTAGGTTTCTGGTAAAACTGGTACATTTGATCATATTTTTACTTCATCTTCTTAATTACTTCTTGCTCAAAATTGGTTCCAGTCCTTTCCAGTACCACTGGGGCTAAAGTTTCTGGCTTGTGGTTTCCTCGGTCACTTTTCTTTTTCTTTTTTTTTTTTCCCATCAGTCATTTAAACATATTTGTTATGCTGCAAGCATCCCTGGCTTGAAAGATTTCTTGGCTTTAGGGTTTGAGATTTCAGAAGCTTTAACTTAAGTGCATAAAGCTTACTGAGTTTTACTTCACATTTAAATTTTCTTATGTCTTTTCATTGCTTTTATCCCTTCACTCCATTATTTCATCGTCATTGAAAACTGAGGGAAAGTATTAATTTAGTTTGGAGTTAATGTATACTTTATTTTAGATCCGCCTTGGTCTGGTGTCTTTTTTATTTTTTTAACCAGTGCTTGGTGGCATACTTTTTTTAGTTATGTATTTAGTGGGGTTTTTTTCTAATCGGTTTCTGGAAAATTTCACTTCATTCTTATGCTTTTTTTTGTTCCTAAGACATAGATTGCAACAGTCTTCCTTCCATGCCTTCATCTGTCCACTGATTTCTGACATGCTTCATAAGTAGCCAGCTAAGCCTAGAACTTTTTGTGTATCTTTTTCCCCTCTATTTGGATACAAATATCTGATCACTTTGCAAGTAAAAATGGAAAGTCTGGTTCCTTACTGGTAAGTTTCTAGTTCACCCAACTTCTCTAACTTTCCTATTGAGCCCTTTTAAAACTGAGAATCTGTGTAACAAAGCCTTTGTTTTTAATTTAAACTAAATGAATTCTTAATCACTTATTTTAATTGCATGCACATACACGAAACAGGGGAAAAAAAAAGCAGTTTAAATTGATGCTACTTCTTACTAACTTAGGAACAGTTAGTTTGGAGATGGATGGAGAGAAGCTGTAGGCTACCACATCTAGGAACATCAACTACTTAGGAATTACTATTAAACCCTTTCTGTGTAGATTGCTTGTGGGTCACTTGTGCTGCTGTAATGCAACATCTTACAACACTTATTGCTCCATTTAAATTAACTTGCCAGTACCTCGCAGCAGATTGATTTCCTCGGGAGTCAGCAAAATATCGCTTCCGTTCCCTTCCTTCTGTGTGCCACTGAGCCAGCAGTTTTCCTTGATTTGTCCCAGGAAGGGCTTGGTAGTTTCATTCATCTCAACTTGATCAGCAGATTTCTCCCTTTAGAGTTGTCTTCTACTTCAGATCCAAGTTTTAGGTACCTGCCTCATTATACACTATGTGCCTTTCTATATTTCTATATTATCAATTTGCTTTATTGACGACCTTTTTGGTACTTCTTGGCAGATTTTCCATGCGCATAGAGCTACCAGAGTGCGGGTGTGTGTTTTTGTTGTTGTTTTAATCATCACATCTGTTCCTTCCATTCCACTTTTCTCTAGAAAACTGCCTCAGGTTCTGCAGTCTCTTCTTATTCTAATGTCCTCTTTCTCTTCCAGGGCAGCTCCTTCTGCTCTCATCCTCACTGTCCCAGAATGTTGCTCTATATTCTGTTTCTATAAGTGTCACAAGCTCATTTTCCAGCACAGAATAATACTCCCTCACTTGATTTCTCATCCACTAGCTAGCTAATCTTCCACTGACTTGCCCTCATGATCTTATGCTGCCATGAATCATGTTGGACCTATTGCCTACATAATTTTACTGACAAGACGCCTGAAATTCTTCAGTTGTAGTCCCATCTCGGAAGGATCTGCTGGATCTCCAAAACCGTAGCACAGCTCCAGGGGCATCTCCCCCCATTGGCTGCATTTATTTCATGCAGTCATTGAGGTGATACTTTATATGTGTTTCCTGAGGTGTCCCTCCCACTAAGGAGGGGAATTCAGTACTCGGAAACCTTTATCACCTCAGGCATTCTTCAGTAGTGCCATTTTCCAGGGCTCCATGTCTGTTTGGTATTGGGATTTTCTTTTTCTCACTACTAAATTGAAAGAAATAAGCCATAAAATGATTTCCTCTTGCAGAATCCCACTGGCCTAGCACAGAGTGAAAATTGAGCTGTCGGTGACCAGAGGACAGCATATTGGATCCAGCATGGCAGTTAGTTAAAAAACAAAATGGCGACTTGTCCAGTTGGTTTCTGTTTCTTTGACAGGTGTCATAGCTCTGGCTCTGTCCTGTCCTTACTTGCGGGAAGCGTCTTTCAAAAGGTGCTGCAATATAACTGACAGTGGAGTTCGTGCTCTTGCACTCAACTGCCACTATCTGCAAATAGTGAACCTGGGCAACTGCTCTGGCATCACCGATGCCTCCTTGCAGGCACTGGGAGAGAACTGCAAGTTTCTTCAGAGTGTGAGCTTCTCCTCTACTCAGGTAAGCAGAGAGGCAGTGGGCTAATTAACGTTTATTAAGACTTACGTAAATGAATTGAGAGGTGCTTTTTAGCTGTATTTCTTGACAAGTTTTTAGGATCCAGAACCACCATTCATTTCTAGTTTCCTCCTTTCAGGGAAGAGATAAGTTATATTTTGCATCTTGATATGAAGAATTTAGGTATTACAGTATTTATTAATGAAACAAATTTATCTTTGATCAATAGTCTACCTATTATTGGAAATGGCCTTCTCTTTCGGTGTTTTATTATTTAGTTTTATTTTCTTCAATTTGTAAAACATGATGAAATATTTCATATAAAAAGGAAGAATCTTGGACAAATTCTTATCTGCTTGTGATTAGGACAAACTGACCTAAAGCAAAATAAAGGACATCAAACACTGTAAGTGCATAGGAGAGGTAAACAGCAGACAACTAGTTCTAGTTGTGGAGGACTCTGCCTTCTGGATGTCCTGTCATAGTCGTGTTAGAGCGTCAACAGAAGAAGAGTGACATTAAAAATGTTAGAAAAGGCACAGCCTTTAACAGCAGCTGGTAGTTAGTATGAATAAAGGGGGGCATCGTATGTAACAGTAATATTATAACAGACTTCATAACTGCAGTAAGGTAATGAAGTTGAGGAGGGGAATTCTTGCGATAGAGAAGAGTTGGCTTGGGTGATAGAAGATGATTTTGCGTTGAATATGAGCCAGGCCCACGGCTTCATAACTGTTAGATTTTAAAAATGTGTAGCAGGTTCTATATTTTAAATAGTGTCATTCTCCTTTGGTTTATCCAAAAGGAGGGCATTAAAAGTCATGTCAATCTTTTATTTGATAGTTTTTAAATTTATTCAAGTTACTTCATGACTTTTTTGTTCTATTCCCTCTCTCCCCATGTCTGAAATGGATACATTTCCTAGTATGTATTTTAGCTCAGCTGAGAACTTCTTGAATAATTAAATGTTTCAGTATCTTTTCCTCCTTTCTGGTACTCAGTCGTGTGGTAACACTAGGCTTCAGAACTTTGTTTTGCAAAAAAAAAAAAAAAAAAGGAAATCTGTATTAGAAGTCAATTAGATGCTTACAGAATATCCCTGTGCCACTGCCCGTGCGGACTGCAACCGCAGGGGCTCCTGCCTGTGAAGGCTGCAAGGCCGAACCACATGCTTGTGCTCGAGTGCCATGGGGCATGTTCATAATATCAAGAGGAACCTGCAACTGTGTGCGAACGAGTCAAGTAAATGAGGAATTCAGTGGGAAATGACACAGGGAGGGCACAGAGAGGGCACAGACCGCTAAGAAGCAGGTGTAAGCGAAACTAGAAAGGGGCCAAACACCAAAAGATGATGAAGGCGGTTCTAAAATAGTATCATGTAGTGAATCCAGAGAGACGAAATGCAGTTAAGCAGAAGGCATAAGGAGTGCTGCAAAAGAAATGAAAGGAGGGCAGGAGAAAGGAAAGGGAAACACTGAACTAAGAAACTATTCTGTCCCAAAATCAAAAATAATTTTAATTTTTGCATTTTGAAGAACATGACTGAAATTATTAAAGGTTAGAGTCAGCACTGACTAAATATTTGTGCTATGTTTTTTTGTTCTAATAATTTTAACATACAAAAATTAGTTTTTATTTGATGTTAGAATGCCTGTGAAAGATAATGCCTTATTCCAAGTACAGGAATTAGGTTCCAAAATAGTAAGGACTGTGCTGGACTTTCAAGGGAGACCTTAACATAAACAGTATTCCTCTAATACGGGACTTGTGTCCAAAGGAGATGTCCTCCTTTACCATCTAGTACTGAAGTGCATGAATATGGCACAGAGATGGGCCTGTTTTTCCCACTTAGGTTGAAGCTGATTTTGTTTAGGACTAATTTTTGCTAATGGTGTTTATCTGAATCAGCATGTTTTTTAAACCCAGTAGTTAGAGTTAACTATCAGAATTGAAAAATTCTACTACTTCAATTTCCTTTTTCCTTTTAACCTGTGACCACTTG